TTTATGCATTATTATTTGTACATTTGCCCCAAAAGCAGTCAAAATGACTTCCTTGGGCAATCTAGTGTTAAAACCCAGGACACTTTATATACACACACGAGCTAGTGTATATTTTCTACCATATCTAACAACAATCTTCACTCACTAACTTCTTTCTCTATCATTTTATACGCACACACAAATAGAAATTATGGACAGAAATGAGGACTTTTATATCATTATTTTTATAGCATTTGTAAAAAAAATGAATATGCGAACTAAACGGAATAATATAACAGGTTTCGTTTTCGTCTCGATGGGTTCGTCGGTGCGCGCGTCGGGCATGCCGGAAGCTCTTCGGCAAATTTTCGTAGCAGCGTTCGCCACGCTTCCGTACAACATCGTATGGAAATGGGAAGGTATGAAAATCAAGGACCTACCGCCGAACGTGAGAACGGCAGCGTGGTGGCCACAGCAGGAGCTCTTAGGCCATGCGAAGCTGCGAGCTTTCGTGTCTCACGGAGGACTGTTATCACTGCACGAGGCTGCTTATCACGGCGCGCCAACCCTCGTTTTGCCCGTGTTCTGCGACCACGACGGCAACGCAGCGCAAGCTGGTATATTTATCTTACGTATTACCTGACGTAACTGTGAAACATGGGTGGCGAGCTTGTCGTTTCCTCGTCTCTCGTTCTATGTTCGCCACTGCAGTTTCTCAGTGTCAGAAAATAAGCCTACTGTTCGACCCTTTTTACTTTTATAATATACAGGGTGGGTCGAAAATCATAGTACAACCGGGCAGGGAGTGATTCTACGTTAAAGAAGAAGAAACGGATGAAAAAATGTTATACTAAAATATTTTCTTTTTCTTCAACGTAAAATCACCCCCTGCCTGGTTGTACTACAATTTCCGTCCCACCCTGTATAAATGCAGTCCTACGATTCGAACGAGCTCCATACTTTTAAATGTTACTTTAACCCTTTGACTACGGCAGACTTTGGCACGCACTGGCCGTACAGTACGGT